TGTCGCCGACACAAATAAAATAGTATCATCTACATGCAAAAAAAGGCTAACAATAATGTAAGCCTTATTAATAAAAACAAAAATAAACAACACTCAATGATATCAACTATGAACATGGACACAATATCTTGACCGTGTTTTGAAAATGAAAACGTTACATAAATACATACATACAACAAACTATTTCTTGTTAACAGTTAATATATTTCAACCTTGAAAATGGCTAAATGTATAGCCGAAAGCGATCGGATAAAGAAAACAATTGGACAGTTTTTATATAATGTATCATCTAAAAAGAAAGAAAAATAGATCACATGAGAAATTGTATAAAAAAAATAAATGAAAGTACCTTGTCTATCGTATTCAATGAAATGTGCACCCCTCACACACACACACACATATATATATATATATATATATATATATATATATATATATATATATATATATATATTTGTGTGTGTGTGTTTGTGTGTGACAACAAATAAAGATCCACAGGTAGAGAGTCGGTAAGGTAATTTGAACCTTTAATTCTAATGCTTTATCTCTTGATAGTGTGTACTTTAATTTCTATGCCTCCGGAGACTCTTTTTGCAGAAAAATGACAATTTCATTTCTTTTGAAGAAATAGATAAGCTTTGATATGAACATATGAAGCTACACGATAAAACTGTGCATATATATTTCTTTATACATAGGATTAGTGTCTATAGAAATAAGATCTGCGTGTTCAGAATAAGGTTAGATTAAAAGATTTGTACATTATCCTGATCCTTAACGCTGGAAGGAACATTTCCAGAAATTAATTTGGATGTAGAATTCCAGGGAAAGAAATGCGAAAAAAGAAATTATTATTAAAAAAAGAAAATGCAATAATAAACGAGAAATATGAAAAAATCTGCAAAACGGCGAAAGTTGAAGTTCAAGAAAATGAACATTACAAAATATTTCATTACGTAGAATTTCCGTCGTAATGAGACGTTTTGATCAATATCCGTCCGAGTGGATAATATCTAATCATCAGGAGTTTTTTTTTAAATGAAAATTCCAGGGATTTCAGAAATACAGGGAATTTAAATTAAAACTCATAATTGCAATATTCTAATCATTAATCATCCATTATGCCTGGTGGATTTCGTGAAAAATAGTTGCTGTTTGCCTCATAATAGAAATTTGTCCCGTAATAGTTTTTAGATTTTATAATAAAAGCGAAATGAAATAGAAAATTAATAAAAGTTAATAATGGGTATTAATTCCCTGCTTAATATATTAAATAACAGGGTAGACTATGTCCTCTATCACTGGATGACAACCATTAAATTGGTTGCAACCCAGAGAGAGAATTATGGAGAAAGCAATAGGAAAGAATGCCGTTCTTTCCCAAGAATGCATGACAATTCACGGATAATAAAAAGAAAAAAAAACTTTAGTGATAAAAGATCGTGATATGGCATTTAAGAAAAATAAAACCATTATATTTTTTTAAATCGAATATAGACACTCTTCATTTATAAGTGAGTTTTGTTCCAACCAACTGGTTAGTATACGAAGTGGTCACAAATTGAAAAGAGATATATGGCTGCTATTTCAAGCATGCTGAAATGGGCTTGTCTCAATGAAATTTAATACCATTTTTGCACACTTTGTAACATTTCTAATTTATTTTAAATGTTTATACAGTACGGTAGTGTAATAAAAAATAAACGTAATGAACAAATTCGAAAACCAGTTCGATATTTGGTAAAATGCATTGTATACGGTAAATAAAGTAAAACTAGAATTTTATTTATTTTTCATATTATTCATTCATTTTATTTATTTTGATTAACGGACAAAATTACGCGATACCTATACAATTTTATTTTCGGTTTTGAAGTTTTCTTTTGTTTTGTCATCAGATTTGATATTTGGTCCCATGTGCGGTGTCTCTAAGTGAGGATGCTGAAATTTCCTTTACATGGCTTTTAATTTTGTTTAATTACTTCACTCCAAGAATAGAAATAATTCTATAAATATGCAATGAGTTACTGAAAGTGAAAGAACAAGATTTAGGAAGACAGCAGACTGCGACAGACTTTGCATTTAAATTTCTGAAGATTGTAGGTTGCAGGAAAGCAAGAAATCGGAAAATAATTCTATTAAAATATAACTTAAGGTTACATTTAGCTATTCCCTCAGAAAAAAAAACAAAAAACTATGAGGTTTATCTGCCAATCTAGTAATACGCTTGAATTAATGTTGTCACAGTACCAAGGAGGAGAACACATTGGGACAACTGACATGAAAATATTAATAGATATGACAGCGGAAAGACACGTCACGACAGTGGAAAAGTGACTGAAATTTGATGCCAGGTCAGGACAGATAAGATTACCGACACTTATTTTATTCTGTCATTTTGTCCAGATGTATGAAAATATTTCCATAACTCACACACACACACACACACACACGTACACACACACACACACACACACACACACACAACAATAATAATAATAATAATTGTTATGGGACCTTACCCATAATAATAATAATAATGGACTATTCCATACTTAATAAATACTGCGCCTCAGGGAGTAGGCAAGGGAGTCAGTAGTTCAAGCGAAGAAGTCAGTAGTTCAAGTCAAGTCAAGAGTCGAATCAGAAGCAGTCCGAAACAGAGTCGCCTTCAGACAATTACTGCAAGACATTGGAATAATGATACTGGTCGAGACTACATTGTTTTCTCTAATAAACCTGATTGTTCATACTAACACTTCTACTTCTCTGTATATATTACTGTTTATAATATATCTGTGTTATTCCATACCTGTGTTCGCGTTCTTCTTTATTGGTTCTACCTTGGACTATCACCGTAGTACAAGGAACCGGACCATAACAACAACAACAACAACAACAACAATAATAATAATAATAATAAGCAAAATTAACATTCAAGAAAGGTAGAATTACAGCAAAAGTAACATTCAAGAAAGGTAGAATTACAGAAACACCTTTAATAGATTTAGATTTTGTCACAAAGATTCGGGAACTGGAGGATGATGAAGCTTATAAGTACCTAGGAATTAGCGAAGGAGATGGCATACAACACCCCCAAATGAAAGACAAAATAAGAAAAGAGTACTACAGACGTGTACGTCTGGTACTAAATACTGAGCTAAACACAAAAAAAAAAACAGAATATCGGCCATAAACACATTGGCTGTCCCTGTGGTGCAATACAGCTTTAATGTCCTTAACTGGACCATAGCTGGAATTAAGCGAATGGACGCCAAAACGAGAAAGCTTCTCACGTGCTATCGCATGCATCATCCCAAAGCTGATGTTGATCGTCTGTATGTACCCAGATCCGAAGGAGGCAGAGGATTAGTTCAACTAGAACTGTCCTACAAAACTACAACAATTGGCCTCCAAATATACTTGGAAACTACAGCAGACTGAATGATGGTATGCGTCAAGGAACATGAAAGTAGTAAGCGTCTTTACTCCGTAATAAAAGAAGCCAACACATTCAAAATGGAGTTCCAAATGGGCGTAGAGATGCAACTACAGCACAATACACCGAGTGAAACTGCAAAATACTTAAAAAAAGACAGCAAAGACGAATGCAACCGACCAGATACAGAAGCGCTGGCAGCATAAACCTCTTCATTGCCAATACTCTGCCCGTACCAAACAAGCTGACGTAGACAAAACCCGTACCCATCAGTGGCTACGTCGTGCAGAGTTGAAAGCTGAAACTGAAGGTTTTATCCTTGCTGCACAGGACCAATGCTTGCTAACTAGGAATTATCAAGCACATATACTAAAATATTGTGTCAGCCCAAAATGCAGATTCTGTTATAAATATCCAGAAACGATTGATCATCTTGTATCAGGTTGCACGATATTGGCACCCACTGAATATAAAACCCGGCATGACAGAGTGGGCCAATATCTGCACTGGAAAATCTGCAACTTCTATGGGAAGAAAACTGAAAGAAACTGGTGTGAACACCAACCAGAGCCGGTTACGGAGGTAGGACCTGTTACATTTCTATGGGACTACACAATTTCACACTGACAGAACAATTAAAGCCAACCGCCCAGATATTGTTATTAAAGACCACAAACAAAAACGGTGCCTCCTTATTGATAAGGCAGTCCCTGCTGACTGCAATGTATCTTTGAAGATATTCAAAAAGCTGTCAAAATACAAGCACCTTGAAATAGAAATCTCGAAAATGTGGCATATGGGAACATCACCAATACCTGTTGTAGTTGGAGCTCTAGGACTGGTTGGAAAAGATTGCAGTAGACTAATTGAAGGGATTGCTGGAAGTTCATGCCTCAAGGAGATACAAAAAATTGTTCTGACAAGTATAGCCCACACTTTACGAATGGCTTTATCTATGTAATTTTCTTTTTTTTTTTTTGTCAGTGGAAAGTGTCATGATGCCATTTCTAACCTTAGGTCCCTGGACGGGACCCGGAAAGAAATGTGTAAACGCCAGAAATCAAAGAAAATAAAAATAATAATAATGCTGAAAGCAATCGTTAGTTGTATAAAAAAGATATAAATCTAGTAAGTGAAACGATCTCCCAGTAACATCGTCTGCATTTTCCTTGTTTGAACTTCCGGTTGAGAAAAAAAAATGTGTAGGATCGCTTCTTATTTCCGTTCCAAGTTATGAAGGAAGCCTGCTGCCGATGAATCCAAACCCTTGGCAGCACATTCCTTCTTCGCCTCAAATAGAGAGGTTGATGAATACCGACATCAACATAGCTGATCAAGGGATTGGGCAATTATTGCTTTTGGCCCATGCGTATGAGTTTGGCCATACTATATTAAAACGACCCTATGAAACATACTGCCACTTAGGAGAGCTGGTGAAATACCGTGCACATGTTTGGCATTTGTTCAATTTTTAAGGACTTCCCGAATTTCAGTGCAAGATGCAGATCAGCTAACGGGTCTTCGGTCAGTTCAGGTATTAGCGATGAAACTAGTGCCAACTATGCCCACACTTCGGAATGTACTTCGTCCAGAGCTGCAAAGAGATGGCAGAACTCGGACAATCTTTGTCCCTATTTATTTTATCCGTGAACCGTCTATATATTACATCCTATTCTTTAATGGAGCAGTTAAGAAAATTCAAGATCTATCATTAAAGGAATACGCACCCAAATTCATAGATGTACTTATTTTAGAGAAAGCATTATTCGTTCCGAACTTGTGAAATCTGGCGTCAGAGTCTGTCCATGAATGATCATGTTTAGCTGACTTCAACGGGCGGGTAAACAAGCAAACAATTATCTTTTCTACAAAACTAAAGCTTGTGGGTCCACTTAACCTCAAATCTCAACTGTAGCCAAGCAATTAGCAAGAGTCGGGTTCTTTTCAGTGTGCCAAGTCTGATTTGCTTGTTAAAGAGAAATTTGGCAGAACATCTCGAGTGGCACGGAAGGAAACCCTAAGACTGGAAATCAAGAAGAGAAATAGAAAACCTACTTGAACAACAAGCATTTGTCTTTTTACCGTTATATCTATCGGCGTATCTCTTTTTTCATACTAAACTTTTCTACTTTTACAGACATTCTCTCTGTATGCTTTGTAGTTTCTTATTTAAAAGTTACATAGGTTTTCTCTTTTAATATTTTCTTTCTTTCATTTTTTCTCAGCATATATATATATATATATATATATATATATATATATATATATATATATATATATATATATATTAAAGTATTTTAACATCTTTCGTTCGTTCTTTCTCTTGACCTGTCATTTCCTTGGTTTATTCCATTTCAAATATTTAATTTCCTTTTCTTTGTTTATTTTATTTCTGTCTTATTTCTTTAGTTTTCTTTCTTTTTTCTTCCTTTGTTTCTTTCTTTCTCAATTTCCATATTCTGTTCTTCTTTGTTACATCGTCCTTTTGTTTGTTTTATACGCTCTTCCTTTTTGCTCCATCTTTCTTAAACTTGCTTTCTTCTTTCTTTCTTTCTTTCTTTCTTTTTTCCCCTTTCTTTCTTTCTCAATTTCCATATTCTGGTTGTTTCCTATTTTTATTACGACTCTTTCTTTTAGTATCTTTCTTTCTTTTTTCTACCTTTCTTTCTTTCTTTCTTTCTTTCTTTCTTTCTTTCTTTCTTTCTTTCTTTCCTTCTTTTCTTTCTTTCTTTCTTTCTTTCTTTCTTTCTTTCTTTCTTTCTCAATTTCCATATTCGGTTTTCCTTTGTTACATCGTTCTTTTGTTTGTTTTATCCACTCTTCCTTTTAGCTCCATCTTTCTTAAACTTTCTTTCTTTCTTTCTTTCTTTCTTTCTTTCTTTCTTTCTTTCTTTCTTTCTTTCTTTCTTTTTGCCATCACGGTTTTATTCCTCGCTATATTTTCATTTTTTTTATTTCTATCTATTTTTTTCATTTTCCCTCAAAGCTATATTTTTCTATTTTCTATTTATTTTTTTCTATTTATTTGTAATTTTCTTCCTTCTCCCAACAATTCTATATTATTCCTTCTAAACAATTTATTCCTTCTTTCATGCTTTTCTCATTTCGTTTAAAACTTTTATTCCATGTTCTATCATTACCGTATTCTTTCTTTTTCCTTTTGAATAAATTTGATTTTCATCAAAACCTTATTTTTCTTTCATTTTTTCTTCATTTATTTAAATGTTTCTTCCATTTTATAATATTGCTATATTCCATCTTTTCTCATCTTTTTACCTCATTCTTTTCTTTTTTTTCTTTCTTCTTTCCTCCATCTATTCGTTATTTCATTAATTCCTTCTCATTTTATTTTAAATTTATCTTTTTATTTTTTAGAATTGAATTTTTTTTCTTACTTTGGTTCTTTCTATCATTTTTAATGAATACTTTGTTCATTTTTACACTTATTTCTTATCTTATTTTTGTTATTTTTTTCTTTTTCAATCAATGTTTATTATTTCTTCGCTTTTTGCAGCAGTTCTCCATTGTCTTTCTTTTCATTCTGTATTTTTCTTTTAGTTATTTCTTCTCTCATTTATTTTTCATTCTTTCTTTTTTGACATATGATTTTCTTTATTTCATTTTCTCTCTTTAATCGCTTCATTATCTTTTTACCACTTCAATTCACTTGTATATTCCTTCCTTCCTTCCTTCATTCCTTCATTCCTTCCTTCCTTCCATTCTTTCCTTCCTTCCTTCCATACTTACTTCCTTCTTCCATTTTCTTCCTTTCCTTTCCTTTCCTTCCTTCCTTCCTTCCTTCCTTCTTCCATCCTTCCATCATTCCTTCCTTCCTTCCCTCCTTCATTCTTTCTTTCTTTCCTTCCTTCCTTCCTTCCTTCCTTCCTTCCTTCCTTCATTTATTCTTTCTTTATTTATTTATCTATTTCATTCCTCCTCTCTTACTGGTCTTACATAAGACCATTTTTGTATTATCTTTCTTTTCTATTGACAATGTTCAGCCCAATATTTAAGCAGTTTCTTTTTTAATTCTTCCATTTTTTTTTCTTTCATTTCTTCTTATTTTTTCTCTCTTTTTTTCTCCTAGTTTCTCTCTTTTTACTCTTGCTTTTGCCAATTAGTGCTAGCGACTGAAAAATCTCACCACTTCACAATATATTTTGCCATAAATGCTACTTCGATAGGAACAATGAAATAACTCCACTTATTTTTTTACAAGTCAATAATAAGTAAATGTGCTTAACTTACATACTCCCCGAAGGGAGTTTAATACGTGTTCATGGGTCTTCACTACAAGGTTCGAGGGGAAACAACTCATTATTATTGGAGAACAACTGAATTGATCATAGAGTTCGGTTTTGTTATGTTAACGCAGGAATTTTTTTTTTCTAATAAGGCCATTCAAACCTTCGTTCTGCTTAAGATACTATACCACAGTTACTGGAGATAAATGCTGTAAAGCTATGTAAAGTCTCCTTTCCTATACGGCGAATAATCTTTTCGAGTTTCGTTAAAAATTAAGAATAAACTTGAAGTAATATAAATAGTATTTTTGCGACGAAAAGGGAGAATAATAATGGACAGAACATAAGAGAAATGAATAAGTTATAAGGAGAATATATAAAAAAAATATTATTTTTTTTATAATTTAGTCTCTAGTGTAATAAATAAATTTTTAATCGTAAAGATTTATTTTAACACGCACCTTTGAAAAGGAGTATTATGGAAGCCAGACAGGTTGTAAAAATAAATTGTTGCAGTTGTTATAAATCTATTAGAATTAGCGGTTAAAGAACCGTCAAAATTATTTGTGAAATGTTGCGGATTCATTTATTGAATTTATGAAGAAATAAGTTTTCATATTTATTTGCCAATTAGACGTTCTCTCAAGCACTTGATAAAACTTGAATTGACTTGGTGTGATCCTCCTTTGTTTAATAAAAAAGGACCGCGATTAGCGGATGGCATCAGAAAGCAATTAATTATAGAGAAGGAATCATTAGGGCCTGCATTTCAAGGCCGGATGATTAGTTCTGCCGAACGAGTCATAAATCATCACTAGGAAAGAAAAAAGGGCCGATATCTATAGGTAAGATTCAACCCCAGGACAGAAAATTCTTTCGGCGTCGTTCAGAGTAGAATTTGAAAGAAACAAACACTTATGTTTAACTTTACTCCAAAGGACTACATAAATCCCTCGAGACAACAACCTGTGGAAATATGAAACCCCCTATTTTGCTGAGAGATTCCCATTATGTTGAAGAAATTAGGTGGGTGCTCTTTTGTATTGTTTGACTTGTGCAATGATTTTACTTCCTTAAGCCTTTTAATTTTTTTTTTCATTTTTAAAAGGTTTAATCTTTTTATAGTTGAATCCTTGTCTCTAATTCAAAAAAAAAAGCTGTAACCCTTTTTCCTCTTTTTGAACCATCTGAAATTTGTTAAAATATTGTATTGTGCCTTCTTTGCTTTACTTTTGTAATAATTGTTTTTCCATTAAATTTTTACGCAGTGATTGAGGCTTGCTATCTAATTTGCGCCTATTTTGACCTTAAGGAGAAGAGAAGCAAGTATTCTATTTCCTTTTGTATTCCTGCTTACTAGTTTGTACCTTTTTGTGTTTGGTACACGAACTTAGATTTGGTAGCGATTTAAACATCTTTATAATTTGCACAAAAAGATGAGTGTGGCCACTGTGTAATTTGCTATTTTTTTAATATATAAGCGATGACCGTAATGTTGACGATAATCTGTAAAAGGCAGTTAATATATATGGGAAATGATTAATGAAGAAAATAGGATTTGGAACATGTAACATATTGAGAGCAAGAGAATCATAAAAAAATATCGAGTGACCTATTTGACGATGTTCAGGATAAAATGTCGTGTTAAATGAGCAGGTATTATGGAAAATAACAAAAGAAAGGCGACACATGGAGAGCAGAAGTAGCGCAAGTTCGAAGAGATTAGATAGATAGATAGATAGATAGATAGATAGATAGATAGATAGATAGATAGATAGATAGATTGTTCGGAAAATAATGTCCCATATAAGTAAAAACCTTTATTCTTGAATTAATCGATTTTATCACTGACCAAATTAGTCAAAATAGGAACTCTGAACATTTCTGCCATCGATTTACAACGTATTTTATGCTTTTAAGATAAAAATCTAATTTTTTGAATATCTAGAAATCATTGAATTTCTTTCTGCTTATTTCTGTATAAGGAAATACATTTTGGCTTAAAATTGGTGGTCAGTGAACGAGAGATCAGGTGAATATGGAGAATGTGACAAAGTCTCACATTCCATTCGTTGAGTTTCCGCCATGTCATCTTGGTTACATGTGACCAGGCATTGCCATGAAGTAGAATTGACCATGGTTGAATAACTGGCATCGGTTGTAAGTTGCTTCACTATATATGCATTTCATTCAGTTGTTGACAGTAATCTTCAGCTGTAAGTCCCTGGTTAGTCACTAAAACGCTGGAATGGATGAAGCTAAGCTTCTATTGTGCAATTTCACTTTTGGAAAGTATTTAGGTTCTTCGTCATGACCAAGCTATTAAGCCGGTCGTTTACAAGTGTCATAAAACATCCATTTCTCATCACAAGTCACTCTTCAATCAACAAATGGAACATTCATATTTCGCACATCCAGGATCCAACATACATTCACTCTTTCCATGTAAAGCCCATTTAATGTGATTTTTCACCTTGCTTATTTTCTTGTGATATAGGGGGTGTTGCATAATATTTTAAGATAAATTCTGGAAATGATTAATATAAAATTAACAAAGAGGATGCATTATTCATTAGGAATGAGTAATATGTTTTATGCAGTTATTATATTGGGTCGGTGCTTAATTATCAGGCATTTTTATACAATATTTATTATAAAAACAAAACAAAACAAAAAAAAAACAATTCAACAATACCATTTCTAAATGTTTATTCCGGAGCATATGATTATCGACACACATTTTCTATGACCTGAAAATAAAATATTTCTATTAAAAAAGTAAACAAAAACTGCAATTCTTATTAACAAATAATGCGCCTACGAAAACGCCTGATAATTATGCACCAACTCAGTATAGTAGAACAATTAAAATGCTTAATCTAAAACCGGACATTATTTTCTGGACAGCCTAACCCATAGATAGATAGATAGATAGATAGATAGATAGATAGATGGGTGGTAGATAACGTAAACCTGTCTAGCTAGCTAGATATAAACAGACTGGAATATCTATGGTCAGACAGGTACCCCCACACACACACACACATATATATATATATATATATATATATATATATATATATATATGGAGCGACAGAAAGAAAGATGTGAATAATCCTGTAAAATTTTATTGACTATGGCAAATTATACACCATGTCAGATATTGTAATGCAAATCACTTCATATCGACCTCTCGTTAACGTTGAAACTTTCATGATAGGCTGGTATCTATATGTTAAACGCACCACGCTAATTTCAAGGAATAATTTATTTTTTCGTTCGAAATATTCACTAGAACCCATTTAGTCATGGGAGTTTTTAATATACAACAACAGTTGTTCAGCATATGACAAATAAATATATATATAATAGAATGGTTATTGATACTAGTTGGAGTCATAACGAATGCCCTTTTTAAAGAACCAATTAAAATGACGAAGGCATCAGCATACCTACTAATCATCTCTGTGTCTTAAATATATCAAATTACTATAAATATGACCTGACAGTTAATAAGGCATTTTACGGTGGAGTAATGGATAGCGGCTCGGATTCGAATCCATTACATTTACTTACGTGCTAATATCCTTGGGAAAGATATGAATCCTCTTCTCTTCCATCCAGCTATGGGTAAATCATCATCATCATCTTGCGGCCTCAGCCGAGATTGAACTCATCAATACTTTGATTGGTGTAGTTCATAATCTTGTCAATAGCTGAATTCTTGATGCTTAGGGCTATCAAGGATGTATTTTTTATCGTGACACCATCACTAAATAGATTGCCAACCAAGGCTCAGAGAGACTCCATTCACCCTCATCTAAGAGCAGGTTTTGAATTCCTAGACCAGTTGCCATCCAAGGCTATAG